GGTATTAGATATCGAAAATGATCGATAAATCCAAAGAGTCGGTGAGGAATGATTTTAATTGATTCTGAGACAGAGAAGCGCGTGTAATAATGGTTCATTTCGAGAAATAAATAGAGATGACTAAATAAGATACGGGGGTACAATTATATGACGCGAAAAATGATTAAGCCACGCATTAAATTCTCATTAATATTATAATAAAACAATCTTATTAATTCTGTGCAACGCAAAGAGATTTTTGTTGCAATAATTTTTTTACGTTAATAGTACGAATTGCAATCGTTAGCATCTCGTCGAAATGGTTTTTAAAATTTTATAATTGACTAATATTATATGACTCCACTGATGAAGACTGCGTACAGTCAAAACGTTTGTGATTTAATTGTATTAATATGTTTTAATTGTTTTAATATGGTATAATTGGGAAGTAATAAAAATTTATAATATTCACTAACATCCTAATAATTTATGCTCTTGAGTCGGCCTGTTCTTACATTAATTTTACAATTTTATTTCAATATATAAGAGCGTTACAATTTTTACTAATTTATTATTTTTTACGTTAAATTGCATTAAATAACTTGAAATTACTTATTTGCTTCTATACGAAGAAAAATGAAGAAAATAGATACCGAAAAATGTGTTGATATTCATCTAGCAATCGATCTCGTGCATTCAGGTACATGAATGCTATCCGATTGCAATCCGATTGTCCATTTGTACGCGTCGCGGGTTCCATCGCGATGCGGCGAAACATGAAGCAACCTCGTTTACTCGTCATTACATCGATCATCAGACGAATGAAACGGGAAAAAATTAATTAGACAGATTAAGCACGTACGTATACGCGGCGCTTATTGTGCGTATATAGGCGGCGCAATAAGTGGCACATGTTGTCGTCGGATAGATTTGCGGGTGGCGCGTGAGGTGTCGGCTGGCTTTGGCACGTAACGCGACACATGTAATATGTAATCGTCCAGCTGATGTATTACAAGGGACAACCGCGTTAGCCACGTACAAGCGTCATCCCAGCGCGCGAGCGCGCAGCTTCGCGCTCTCAGATAAAGTTGGATAGATCTATGGTATGTACGCAAATACGCGCGAAACGGATATATATATATTTTAATGGATTCGCATGAAAACGACTTTAGATGATAATGGATTTCTTCCTTCCATCTCGATAAAATCGTACAGTTGTGAAAACATCATGAATATGTATATGTCATTTATACATTTTAAAAACGCATTATAGACAGAGAATTTCAAAACGTAATATACAATTTCATCTATTAATATAAATTTATATTCAAGTTAATATATTTTATATACTGTATATTTTATACTTATTGTTAGAGAATAATATGTTAATATTTTGGGTTGTCTATGAAAATATAATATTATAAATAAAATAAAAGTATGAATTCTGTACATTTGTTTGCGTATATAAAGCGTATATACAACAAATTTAAATGAGATAAAAGTATTATGGATGTTACTAGATAATTTGTACAGCTGCAATGAGAACACACATATGTGTTTGCGTCGAATAATAAAACACAACTACATTGAAAAAAAATGTGTTAACTTGACCACCTTTCAACTAAATTATTATTTTGTTAGATTTAATATATTATATTTAAAGTAAATATTTTTATATGTTTAATCAACAAAATAATATTTAGTTGAAAGGTTTAGTTAAAAATCAACAAATTTATTTTTCAGTGTATAAAAAAAAATAAATTATGACACAATATCGTCGAAAATATCGCCATTATCGTCATATTTCCTTCGAGTCCGTTTGCGAATTGCAAGCGAAGTGCAAGCGCATGCTTTCTATAAACAGCTGTACGTATGGTCTTTATTTCGCCACTGCATGTGACACCATATTTTCACAAAAAGTGATACTGCGATAAAAGTTTTGCGAAAGTGTGCATTTCACGGGACAGTGCTGGATTTTTCCATTTATAGTTTCCTATCTTCATCATTTTGCAGCCAGAAATTTACGTGCTATAATTAAGCTATATCCTGCAAAACCATTAGCGCGAAAAGCGAATTAACTTGTATCATGTTTTGAATAATTTCTTTTAGAGAAAAAGAAAAAGAGGAAAGAAAGAGAAATCTAGATACGTATATTCCATTTTCTCTTATATATACAATAAAGAAATTAATCAAATGTTCATATAAATTTACGTTATAAAACTAATGATAATAAATTAATGGAAATTTACATGAAATATAAATGAATTTGTTAATAAATGATACAATGTTTGCCTGAGAGACGATACTTTAAGAATTCAATATTTAATTTTCTTTAGAAACTAATCCATCTACCAACAGTCTGCTATGATATTGACTTGTACTACTTGCCTGCCCGCTTCGTTAATTTGTTCATTCACTCTCGTGTCGAAGAGATTATATCTTATAAAAATTTTTTTTTTAAATGCTCCTTGTATTGAATCGAAATCTTTTTATAGACGTTAAAAATTATTCTAAAAGATCTTAAGACAAGAAAGCCCCCGAGGCGGTACTCAAAGCCATTGTCTTCTATATTACACGGCGCAAATACGCCGGGAAAACTTCTCTACCTCGTCCGCCATAATATGTACTCTCGTTTGCCAAACTTTTCCTCGTATCCGCTGAAGTGTTCCACGTTCCGCTCGCTGTTCTCCTGAAAACGATCTCGCGGGCTGATTGCAAAGCTTGTTAAGCAAAAACTATCTTGTAAGTTGCTCTACGATAAGATAAGAGTGGGACGCTTTCACAAGTAGTATTTTTCTTTTTATTTACTAGATGTTAATCTTACTGTGTATTCTCACATTTTTATATCGATTTGTTCTTCGTTAAATATAAAAAAAAAAAAAAAAAATACTAGAAATACTTAATTCTAGAAATTAGTAACGCAATATGCTTGAAAATTGAAAATATGCATATGACAATTTATTCACGAACACATATATTATTTGATTTTGATAAAGATATGTATATTAATATTTTTAATTAACAGATTTACCCAATTCTTTAAAATGCTTTCTTGTCAATTGTCACTTATTACAACTGCATTAATTTGACGTTTAAATTCTACTTTATGATTATACTCCGTAAAATCAAAATACATGTAATTATCACATTCATATTAATTTGTATCAATGTTATGTAAATTTATACAAATTTATATTAATAGTAATTATACAAATTAACCTTAATAGAAATAGAATAATTATACATATACAATAAATAGAATATTCATATGGAGAACTATTGAACTGTTACAATCCTTAATAAAAATTTAATATCAATGAAGAATAATACTATACAAGTCATTTTGACAGAAAATTGATCCGTCACACTACACTACAAAAATGTAACAATTTTTATTTCACGATTTTTAGCAATGCTTGTAGGGGAGAAAAAAACAAGCAAAAAAAAGAAACATTTTTATAGCGTTAAACGTTTTCGTTTCAAAGTGTACGAGCAACAAATATGACATTTTTTTAAAATTAAAATAACTTTTATTTGGTGAGTCTTGTTAACGATATATCGTTACATGGAAATAGAATATAGAAAACAGTACATTTGGCGTACTTCAATGTTATCAAATATGCATTCACCTCAAATAGTATAAAAAAACATACTCGATATTTTTTAAACATATACACACAGCTTGGGTAAATCCGTTTAAAGCGCTGTAAGCCTCCATCCCCATAAATAACCAAACTACTTTAAAAGAACCGCATCTTGTTTTCCTCTGTACAACGAAAAATAATAAATTTCACACACGCAATATATATTTTTTTAATATAATCTTTTTATATAATTTTATACAAAACCAAACGCGTCTCGTAAAGCTAAAATTTTTTAGATAACGAAGCAAAATAAATCCAACTTCTACCATTCAACATTCTCGTATCGTATTGAGTTAAAACGGAACCGGTTACGAAACTGTGTTTCTTACGCTCGCATTCCACTCTATCTTCTAGGTTTTTTCCAGCAGAAACTGATACACCTTTGTTCAGGAGTGATTTAATGTTGCCAACAGTGCCCCCTCCCGAAAAAGCACCTGGATTTACCGTGTGTGCAGTAAATAATGAGATGGCTGTGGCTTAAGCGTGATTGTAGAAACCAGCCACGGATCTGCAGAATGTAAAACCCGCTGCGATAGAGTTACACTACGCTTCGCAGCAAAAATTACTTAGAGCTTGTTACCGCAACAGGTTGTCGTCATTGTGCTCTATGCGACCGCGTATGTATAGATCTCGAATATCGCCGCTACGGTTCAAACTAACGTTTTTGTTATTCGCGATAAGCAGGTATATATAGGACGGAAACTGCAATGGAATCCTCCAGCACCGCTATCCCATAATTCTTCGTATAATCTTCGTAATTCTAGACAAGCCCGAAATTTACAAAGTTCGCTTAAAGACAAAAGTAGTATCGAAATTAATCCCACTCAAGAAGAAATACAAACAATTGTTATTACTTAATATAAAATTTAATTTTCTAGTATGTGTTCTCATTGTCAATCGCCAATATCTCATTGCAAAAAAGTATACTTGCTTGTCAAAAATGTAAAAAATAATTGAAGAAAAATCAAGCGAACCTCGATTTAAAATTATATTAATTTAAAATTGGTTGACTTTATTAGAGAATTTACACGAAGGGTTTGAGGATAATGGCAAAGTTTCAGCCGCAGTAACTATTCTTGCAACCTGTTCGGGATTAGCCGCGGTTTACCAGATCGCATCGTACCTGAAAATTGCCTGCGAATCTCTCACCGAATTCGTCGTGCGAGACATTTCATCCTCTCTTATGGTCTACTTTTATGCAGACGGTGAATCGACCTAATGCACGATTCGCAATGTTCGCGCGTAAAAGGAAATCGGATGTCTCGGAGAAAAACAATCTTCTCAAAGGTTCGATCTCACGTTTCCTCGTGCACGTTCGCGCATGCATCCATATAAATGTGTAAATCTACGTGTACATACAGATGAGAGAGTACTTACAGGGACGGCATTTGTAGGCGACTTCGAGGTACTTTTGCATTCCGGGGCAAGGGTCGCCGAAAGTCTTCGGGCTGGTGTTGAACTTGCACTGCCGCTTCTTCTGACAAATTCCGACCACCCTCTGCAACAGTGAGTGCTAACGCGTCATTCAGAAGATCCGCTCACTTTGCGATGAGGAGCGATAAATATATATATATATATATATATATATATATATATATATTGTAAAAAACAGAATTCTATATCTTTTATATAACTGGATATCAAATCGAGATCTTAATCAAACACATTCGAAATAATAAATTATGGAAACAGTGTTTTATGTATTTTTGACGATACGCTCTAAATGTTGTTTCCAAAATATTTTCAATAAAAAAAACTATTCTTTAAATCTTCATTTTTTAATAATCGAAAAAGTGAACATTATATATCATTACGAATAAATCATTTTCAATCAGATATCACGTTGATTGGAATTATAATAAAATGTATAATAAATGTATAAAATTAAAAAAAGCGAATTATTTTAATATGATAAGATAATAAGGGATATTGTACAAAAATGTAACATTAATTAATTGCACGAATGAGCAAAGCAAGGAAAGACACATTTGACATAGATTTAATAAAGGAACAAAGCACAGAAAACTATCTATCCCGATGACGCTTTGAAGTGGAAGCTTGAAATTACAGGATCCTTTACCGCAGTTTATTGCAATCGCTATGCAGAATATACGTAAAGGCAAAAAGACACACACACACACTTACACATACAACGGTGGACAAGTTATGACAACTGCAACTGAACTAATTCGTTACTACCGCGGCTTAATTTACGACCGATCCTTTTGACCGACGAGTTCGAGTTTAAAATGAGATTAAATTTGCCTTTTTAAAAAAAACTCTTGGAGATGCGAGTGAAACCAATACCCGCTGGGATTAATCTGCATATAAAATTATATGACATGTGCCAATATTTGAAACGCGAGAATAAATCGGCGAAATGAGCGACGAGCCATTCACGAATAAAATAACGAATAAAAAAAGATATCAATTTTGAACTCTCGCGTTTTAAATATCATATCGCAAAGAATACACAACTATCGATCGCAAGCCTCGAAATGGCTGAATAGAAAGCGTTGAAATAAAAATCAATGACGGCCACAATTTCATGACAAAAAGATTAAAACAAAAATCGTGTTGCAAAGCTTCCACGGGAATGCATTTTCGACGTTGCCCGGAAATGCGGCAACTGCATTTCTGCGAAAGCCGAAGAATGAAAAGAAAGAACGGAAATCGCAAACAAATGCGTGAGGGAAAAGAAGATTCCAGCTTTTTAATTAAGAAAACTTTCATTCGAGCAGTAAATACATCAGCCGTAAAAAGAGCGAGTAACATTAGGGAAGAGTCATCGGTTACATGAAATTGCCGGTCGGTGATATCCGCACATTGTCGTGGATTCCTAGGATTCCACTTTCAATCGGCTAATTGCGTGCAAGGACTCGAGTTACACGGCTATGTCCGTGCTTAATTACGTTAAACGCAATCTGACAATGTTACACGGGCGCATCTTAATGAAGCGAGCAGTAATTTTAATTGCTATGATGTAGTAATTGTGTGTAGCCACATACACAAACAAGAAAACAATAATCCATTATTTATGTGATTAACAAAAAAAGCACTCCTATTTTTCCATTTTTCATAAATTTGTGTATAAAATAAACAAGATGCAATATTTTCAAAAATGCAAAAAATGCAGTAGTAGGTAAGCTATTTTGAAAAAAAATTTAAGTTGAAAAATAAAAATCGTAGAGTTGAAACATACCACACATTTCAGTTTTCGTTCACATAAAATATGACATGTCAAAAGTATACATATATGACACTTGGAATATTTGCGTTTTCTTTTACTAATATCAGTTTTATACTACTAAAAAATATTTTTATTCCATATATACATTATCGCATTTTTTTTTTCTCTCGGTCACATTAAATTCACCCGTGCGCAGTAATTGAAAACCGATGAATTTTCTCGCTCGCGAATACACGAGGAGAAAAAAAAAACTGCTCGCTGATTGTAATATTTCGCGTACACGGAGGTGAAGGAAGAGATCCGCCCTCCCTTCCCCCTCCCTGTGCTGCCTGTGAGAGAAATGTGGAAATTACATTTCCGCGTTTCAAGCTACTACCGACACGTCCGCGTTGGATTCCCTGTGCGCGCGACTCGATCGCCTATATACGGCGCACTCGCACTATGTACGTACGATATCCATCTAATTATCAGAGTTCCCCGGTCTTGGGGCCCCGGTTCTTCCTCCCCCTCCCCCAACCCTCCCCGCATTTCACGTGCACGCGGGGATTCTCCCGCGGGAGAAATCGATTTTCCGCATATGTCGATACATTCTACGTCCGTGTCGTCCGTCACTATACGTAAACGTTTACTCGGTACTCCGTTGTGCAAGTTCGCCCCAGAGACCGAAGTCAGGACGCGTAATTCCCTCCGTCTGCGTTGTTGCGTTTCTCCCGCCGTCGCAAGGAACCGATGATACCGGAAACTAACAATGGCTAATCTCGATATCGTCGGCGTATATGGCAACCCCTTATCGTGGCAATAGAATATTAGTCGAATTAATTCAGATTTATCTCAGGAGATAACGCGATTAATTATCGATGGACATAGATCTCTGTATTTTCGAGAGATTTGTTTGTTAGATATCTATAGACGCGCTATTATTTATACAACGGTGGTAAAAAAAAATATACATATATATATATATATATATGTATATTTATATATACATATATATATATATATATATATATATATAGTATATATATATATATATATATGTATATTTTTTTTTACCACCGTTGTATAAATAATAGCGCGTCTAGATGTCTAACAAGCAAATCTCTATGGTATATATATATATATAAAATGCGCTAAATACACAAAACCGTCGCGAGTTTTTATATCCGATAGAAGATCAAACTATAAACCGAAGGATCATCATATCGCGCGTCTCAATCTTTAAGAAGGTACACACACTTGCAACGAAAACTCGAGTCGTAAAACAAATCTGATTCCCATAATCCAGCCTTATCCGTCACTCGATCTCGATTTGTTCGCGCGTCCTTCATTTATACCCGCGCTTGTTTCAAAATAAATACATCTATATTCTTCCGTCGTTCATCCATAATTGCTTTATTCTCGCCTCTCTTCGAGCTTCTTTTTCTCAATCGTCGCTCGATTTACATACATACGTTTTTCTCTCGCGAAAAAGGAGCGCGTTTATCGACGTATACGCGCGACACTTTTATTCCGACTATAAGTCGCCGACTTTAAATTCCTTCCTCTTTATGGAAGCAGCGACGTATGTCGCCGAGAAGTTGCTCAGGAAGGAGGAAAGGGAATCCGAAGGGTTGGAAATAAGCACTCGCGCGGAAAAGCCCTTTCGCGAGAGATTCGAATCGCTCGGCGGAGCCACTTTCGGGTCGAACCCTTCTACAGGGAATACGCTTTTCGTTCGCGGATACGCGTCTCTCTCTCCCCTTTGAGAATTTCCGGGTGCAACCCGTGCAAAATATACCGCCGCGCGCTGATTCCTTCCCTTCATGCACAGGAAACGAAGCTACGAGAAACGAAAGGCATTCCTCGCGCGCGTTGGAGGAGCAATGACGCGAGCGGAATCGCGTTCTAGAACGAATTATGCCGTTGATATTCCTTCATGCTAGACGTATATTAATATAGAGTGAGTTGCAGCCGCAAGTGTAAGTGTATTATGCGCGGAGATGTCTCGTCTTACTCCAAAATCGAATTAAAGAACGAAAAAGGATTCTTACACTGAAAAAATCATGTAAAATAATACTTAATTATCGCTTGTGATTTTAAATTGAATATTTTTACTTCGTTAAACCTTTGTTTTATTAGTATTTTATTTATTTAAATAAGTTTAAAATATTATTAAATAATATTATAAAATATTATTATATTCGAAATAATATAAAATAATATTTATTATATTTTATGATATTATATGATAAAATAACATTAAACTTTTATTTATTTAAATTTAATAGGGAGACACTCCGACGGCCGGACGGTTCGAATAGGGAGGAGAATGATATTTAATTTATTTGCGGATTGTATGTATACGAGTTTTATAATTTCTGATTGTACCGATTATCTTTTATTTTTTTTGTTTCTTTGTATTTTGCAGCTACTGAAGAAGACCCGAAGTGGGTCGAAACGTTTAGAATTTAATAAATGAGTTTGACTTGAGATCTCATTTTAATTTATTAATTTTGTGCATGTCATCCGCACAGGCTCCGATTGCCGTCGAGATTTTATTTTTATTGTAACACAATAATTTGAGCCGAGATTAACAGTTTTTTTTTTATATTAAATTAATATTCAATTATGCTCTTCTTCCGTTGTAACAAAAATTTTTGTAGCGTATTGTTTCTTTCCCTTTACGTTGTGAGATGAAACATCCTGTGTATGACACATATATGTAAATAGATTACATATTTTTCTCAGTATGGTTTTCAAATGATCATGTTAATACGACTTTGCAACCGCTCCCCACTTCCATTTTGTTGAATTTATGTTCAATCGAGTTGATTTAAACTCCATCTAAACTTTCATTCTAAAGTAAAAAGCAACAAATGGTAGATGAAAGTGCTTTAGAACTCTATAAATCGTTCGCAGTTAACTGCGATCGTGAGTTGATCCGATATGAGAAAACGCAGTAAATAAATTACGCACACACTTGACTATGTTGGACTTGTTTTATGGGCCGATCTTTTGTTAAGAGACCAAATAAATCGTTCAGGAGAAAGATTCCTCCACGATGTCTGACCCTTCGGATTGTCGACCATATCATTGGTTTCGCTCGACAATATACAATCTACAGGTAGTTATAAGACAAATTCGAAAGTACCGTAAATCCAATTGAAAACGATTACGAAAAGTTATTCTTACCACGACGAATGCGTCGCGAATTTATATTTATATTTACGGCTCGATCTCTGTCTGATTAAAAGGATCCTTTTAAATAACAATAATAAAATAATAAATAAATAAATAATAAAAAAATAAAAACGTAGATATTTGAGAATCGCCAGACAGAATTAAAAAAAATAAAACTCTTCTAATTTATAAATAAAATTATAAATTTATTTTTATTTTCACAAATTACTTGATTAGGACATTAAGAAGGGTCGAAACGTTGTGATTTAATAAATAATAATATTTGCCAGTACGGTCGAGAGAAGAGTTTTACTTAAATAAATAATAATTAAAAAAATTCCATTCTTTTTAACAATTCTGGTAATAAAATGTACATACGAATATTATATATTATATATAAATGAAGAAAAGATTTAAATATACTACATAATATTTCACAAAATTGCAATTTGAGAAGTTTGGACATTGTACATATATCCAGCGACTAAAAAATATCAGGAAATGTTCGCGAGAGAAAGGGTGGATTTCGTGAAAAGCAAGATTCTTCGAAAAGGAGGATAAGATCGACGAAATAAAAAAGTTACTCCATTTTCAGATGCGGGTGAGATCGTACAATGGCTCCTTCCTAGGTCGGTGGAATATGAAATATGAAATCGATACCTCTGGTCTTGTGAAAACCGCAAACCGATGGATACCGCGGGAGATTTTTATTGTATGTACCGAGGGTAAGTTATTATACCGCAATGCTGTGCGAATAACGCTACTTTTTTCTCCCCCATAGAATAGAAAGCGGAGATCATTTTGGATCGCTAAGAAACGAGTTTGATCCTTCCGAAAATCGTTGTTCGCGATAGTGCGGGCATAAATTTAAAAATTTTCTTCCCCGGAGCATACATGCTACGCGAGCGTTTGTAATATTTAAAGATCCCATGGAGAAAAAAATTTCAATCGCGCTAATCCTATACTCGATTTCCGGGATGAAATTGCAAGCTTCGTAAGTGGATAATTTAATATCGAAGGAGAAGAGATATGAAGCGTCGCGTATCTCTAAGAACATGTTACTCAACCAACGACAACCTTGTTACACCGCCAAGTCGCTTTCTCCTCTCTCTCTCTCTCTCTCTCTCGTTCTAATTCAATCCCTCTCTGTCTCTCTCGCTGCCTTCCTTCCGTCTCTTTTTCGCCGGCGCGACCTCAAACGAATTTGTCAGTCGCACGCTTCGCGAAACACAGGGGGTGCGCCGTTTTCAGGTCAGTTGCCATTATTCCGCAAACCGCAAGATTTTAACCCCGACGCGACGCGGGACGTATCTCTCTCTTTCCGCCCTTGCGCGAGAGATCCGTAATTGCCAGTGAATTAAGCTCAAAGAAAACAAGTTTTCGTGCGGGCACATTCTCAACGGTCTTTTCCCCGTGGAGTTTCTCCTCCTTTCCGTACTTGGAGCCTGCTGTATATTCCTGTTGAGAGAGTAAATCGTGTGCCTTCGCGCGAATGTTTCTCCCCGGGCTTTCCGACTTGTTCGATCATCATCTTTGCGAAAATTTCAACGCAACCTCCTTTGATGATGTTTACAGTTACATTTTAGTTGCTACACTTTCGTCGCCTTTGACGAAAGCTTCTCTGTCTTTCTCCTTCTACCTCTCTCTTTCCTTTCGGCGCGCTTAAAACGAACTCGCTGGCAATTTTGAAACTATGCGGAATGAAATGCGGAAAAGGAAGCGAGAGTATAAAATATATATCTCCACTTTACTGTAGATCTATAAATTTATATAAGATGATTTAAGGATTTTTCGACATGTGAGAAATTTCCACACTTTTAGTAACATTGTGAAAAGAATTTTCAAAATAAATATATTGTGTGATAATTATTGCGAGACGTTTTTATTATGACACGTAAAATTAAATGCAACATTAAAAATGTTAAAAGTGATTTGATAATTTTTATGTATGCAGAAAAATTGGATCGCTTTACGTGCAAAAATTATTACTTCCTTTTAAGAGTTATGATTTTAAAAGCTACACTATATATTATATATATTTTCCAGCAATACACAAAACATTCAAAAAAGTATGTTAATAAAACAGCCGATTTTTGCCCCCAAACCGGCAAGTAAAATTGATAATGTTTTTTAGTCGTAAAATGACATGGTAATTTTCGTTTGCTCTCAAAGTGGAGGGAAATGAATATTACCATGTTATTCTACGGCCAAAAACTATAAGAATGACATTGTTAATTTTACTTGCCGTCTTGGAGGCAAAAATCAGCTACTTTTTAACACACTCCTTTATCTAATAAATGTCCCAAATCATCCTTAATGCAATAAGAAAAGAGAGCAGTTTATCTTACGTTATCAGAGAAAATAAATTTAGTATCTTTTTCGTTGAACTATAAGTTAAATAAAATTATAAAAAATGATTTATTTTGTTTCGAGATCGTGAAACATTAAATTACTAATAATCGGTTAAGCCAAAGCACTATTATTTTTGTGTCGACAAATCGAGATGTTTCTAAATGATCGTACGTAACTTTTTGCATTTATAAGAGTACGTAAAGTAGGGGAAAAATAATCGCGATAGAAAAGATTGCGGCAATCTGGAGTCTGTGTAAAATCTTCCTAAAGATAACAACGAGTGTACTGCGATTCATGCACGAGGTCACGCATCCGAGCAAAGTTTACGAGGCTTGAAGCGTACGGAGATTCCTCCAGGAAGGAGGGGTGGATCCGGTTTACGATTCTTTCCGGTTTGGTAACCATGCGAAGTAGAAGGAAGACGAGGATGCGCGAGAAGAATATATATCATCTATGTATGTGCTCCTCTCTGGATTAGAAATAAGGAACCAATAAATGTAAAACGTTGAATAAAGTTTCGAAACGAGAGAGAAGCTCGAGAAACGAAAAAGTGTTATCGCGGAAATCGAACAGATGTGAGCAATGTAAGTCTCTCACAGTTATGGTAGGTACAATGAGCAATCGTGTAATATGTCAGTTATAATAAAAGGGATGTATAACGCGTTCTGATATTTGATCGACGTTTGGATTCTTTGAAACTTTCGAGTTTAGGCAGCTCGGAGTTTAGCCCGTGAAACTTCCTTTCGGCTGCTGAAGAGGCAGAATCGGGAGATAATCGGAATCTAAAGTACGTCCAAATATTAAACTTTCAGCGGAAAGATAGGATCATGTCTTACCAAGTCTTGCAAATTTGCAAAGTTCGCTACGTTATTACACGAGAAATACACGAGAGTTTGTGTATGTTTGTATGTATACGTGTGTAATCAAGCTTTTAACTTACGAAAGAAACATGTCACATTAGCGCTTATTAAATTTCAAGATTTACAATTATTTAAGACGTTAGGATTATATACATAGTTATTCATATGTATAGTTATTAATTGAGAAAATAAATCAAATTGTTTTATTAACAGAATGCTGAATAATGTAATTAGAACTTTGAAAAGTTTTAATTACTCTTGAAAAACAAAGAAATAAAATATAAATGAGCAAATTAAACTTGTTTTCGCGAAGATGCGCGATAAAACTATATATATATATATATTTCGAAAGAAGAAAATCTCATATATATAATCGTCTTAAAATTTTATTCTCAATTTCTTCCTTCATTTCTCTCGCAAGTCAATTAAAACGATTAACGCGTTACGATGCGGCAGCAATTTTCGGCTATAGAACTAGAAAACGGCGCGCGCGCGCTCTCGCTCAATCGGCATCCACCAGCGGGAAATGAGAATTTCATTGGCACATACCTGCACTGATTGCGGCCAGATGCACGTGTGATTCGTCGGCTCGTCTTCCGCAATCATCGGGGCAACGGACGAGTTGCATTTGCTGATGCCGTGCATTCCCGTTCTTCCGTATTGAGCGTGTTCGACTAAGATGGTCGTGCCGGGTGGACATTTCAATGTCATCGTTTCTTCGTCGCAGGCTGCGCGTTGATAGGTCTTCAGGGTGCCTGACAACAAGGCTATCCAGTTTAAAAAAAAAAAAAAAGAAATCCACGCGACGCGGCATAAAAATGGAGAACGTATAAAATTGCACACATAATTGAAATATAAATGTTGGAGAAATAAATGGTAGAAAAAGCGTGCGTTAAAATAAATTGCGAGGTAACGTGGAAGCCGTATATAAATTATAGTAGGATATAAGAGAGAAGACGCGCGGAAAGTTGGAACGGTCGGATATCGAAGATCGATCGATAAACCGTAATGACGTCGCCGCCACAACAGTGATTAATTTAAGAGGATCGGGAGTAATTAATGAGTGGATCAGCCGAAGTGGATTGGTTTGGTGGGAGCGGGCACGGATGTATCAATGGCAACAATTCGCCAGCGAAAGCAGCGTCGATTCGTTTACACACGATACGCGGTTTAACATAGCGAGGCAAGGGGAAGCAGCCAACATTTGCGGAATTTAACGCGGAGATCGTTCGTGACGATGGAGTTTGCGGACGGGACCGCAGACGTTTCAGCATGTAAATGCAGATTCGCGCGATAATTTCGCGAGCGGGGGCCAATAAAAGGGACGGGCGGGAATAGTCGCAGAAGTTTCCGAGGAAATGGCAAAATGATTGTAGCAGTGCGTGGTAACAGTCCGCGTGCGGAAATAACGCGTGACGAAACCGTAGAATATCCCGTATTATTATTCCGCAGTATAAAGTTTGCGACAATTAGGGCGAGCAATTTCAAATAATGTTAATATCAGGCATTCGAACATATTAATAAACGACATCATTTGCAAATTTCCAATATTTTTCCAAGCAAACGCAAAAAACGCAAAATGAAGCGAATATATGGTAAAATATGTACGTATATAATCATGTATAATGTAACCATCACCAAGTTAGTGTATTACCGCAGGCACCATCACCGTAGTTAGAGAGAGACAGAGGAGTCGCCATCACCAGTATTATCAGTAGTCATGGATGAGCGCAGCCAGCCGATGTTCCGATGAGACATGAAAAATAAAGCAGATAATGATGTCTGTTAGTCACGTCCGAGAGAGAAAGAGAGACGCGAAATATGCAAATTCTTCAATATTTCCCAAGCGCATCCCAGCGAAGAGGATGGAATTGCGCGCGGAGGAGTAAAGTCGATAATTCACGCGACGACGAAGGAACATCTGACCCGGTATCGGTAGTTCCTCTCGCGAACGAGACATTCGTGGTAACGCGAAGGTAAAGTGCGGGGATACGCTTTCCAATTTTGTTGAGTAAATTTGTAGAACCCCAAAGAAGAGCGCAAAACTCAAATTCCGATTATTCTCGCATGTACTCGCAATTGTGTTGCCAACTGTTACGCTCCATCGCAAATATTTGACGCTCTCGAAGATTTCATTAAAGACACGAAGATCCCTTTTCTTGTCTTTTCAAGTATTATTTATATGTGTACTTTTGTGTATTCTCTCGTTCACGCGCAGGAATTAACTAATGCAAAACGTTTCGATTAATTTTACCAAAAGCCCAAAAATAATGTATAAACAGTAACGGAATAATAATAAGAAAAATAAATAATAAAAGATAGTATTTAAAATTTAAAAGGTAGTATTAAAGAAAGTAATTTAAATTTTCGTGAAAGTATTATTTATGTGTACTTTTGTGTATTCGTTCACGCGCAGGAATTAACTAATGCAAAACGTTTCGATTAATTGTACCAAAAACTCAAAAATAATGTAACGGAATAATAATAAGAAAAATAAATAATAAAAATAGTATTTAAAATTTAAAAGGTAGTATTAAAGAAAGTAATTTAAATTCTCGTGAAAAACGCGACGTTATAAATTTTTCAGCAAAATGCGATTATGTGTTAACAAACGGTTGCATAATTTGTGACGTTGCATTGCATAATTCGTCGTCCCATCCATCGGCAAGATTCGCGCAATAAGTGTCGAGACACGGCTTGTGAGAGAAAACACGGCGTTTTCCCGACGTGGTTGGCACATCGTCTTGGTAACGACCCCGTCTTGAGAGCCCCGGCTCTAGATTATATGCATAAAGCCAGGCACCGCAAAGAGTAATGCATACAAACGATTGTTGTGCACCGGCAATAACAAACCCCGGGGTCCGCTATTACATTCCGTGGCCCTCTCCTCGTAGCGCACGTTCGTAAATCAACGAGTATGCAAACTGTAAAGCGCTGAGCTGCGCCGGCAACCACTCGGAATCTTCTTCAGGCTATAGGAGGACTCGCGCTGTAACTCGACTACGTGATTGGAATGACCGAGCGATCCGATATGCCTCCCTTGATCTCCGAAGAATGCGCGTATACAATTCACAGGGTAAAGAATGCAGGGCGAAGTTTCGTATCGCGATCTGATTAGATTTAATCGCCCAAGTTTCTTCCAGTTCTTACGTACGCCGGTGTACATACCGATGTTCTCTTTCGCCCCCGTTTATCGAAATGATCAGACCGCCGATTATGTACAAATTATCGGAGAAGAAAAACGCAAAAGAGCGCAATAAAGTTAGGACAACGCTCGAAATATTTTTGTAAAATTGCTGATTAACTTTGCATCGCTTATTTGTAATATATTCGTGTCGCTTGTTTATTATTTAATGTTTTAATCCAATTTAAAATATATATATATTTTTGTATGAAATATCGAAGGTTGAAACTCATATTTCACATAGCTCTAGGGAAATATATATAATCATGCATTCTTTCTTTCACACGTACTATTTCATGTATTTGAAAATATACATTATTCTCCGTTTCTCTCTTCGTCTAAAAATTTAAAATTATTACATCACTTAGTTTCTATATATGTATAGTAACATTCGCTGTGTAATAAAACGAAAAAATTCATGGCACCTTGTCATAATTTGCTTGTTAAAAATGAAGTCATTTCATACGAAATATTAGCTATTCTAATACACTTAATCAACGTCTATTCGCCGCCTTGCATGTATATGCAAGTAGATAAATAAAAGTATATGAAAATCCTACGCGCGAGACATGCTCTTATATTACCAAAACTGGGTTAATGGTTATCTCGAACAACAACTTATTCTGATTTATCTTCTATAATTATGATGAGAGCTTGCACGGAAATTAAATGCCAGAATATCATGGATTAATCAAACTTAATAACATTTGCGTTTAATTATTGCATTTCAGATATTCAAATGATAAATACGCATATAAATCGCAAAGTCATGAAAATTATTATAGGACATTCGTTAATTAAATGAAATGATTAATGAAAAACCTATTTTATATATTCACATGTGTATTATATAAAAATCAGAATTATTGTGTATTATGGGAAAAAAGATAATAATATTTAAATGTATTAATCGTTAAATTAAATATGTGCTCATAATTATTTATATAATTTTATTGTTCAAGTTTTAAACTGATTTAAAAGTCCTATGTCTTTAGAGAAAGAAAGAGAGAGAGAGAGAAAACAATTATCTTGGAAAAATCGTAACTTATCTGCAGCTATCGTTCTATTGGGAAAAAAAATAAAACAGAATATAATTATTTCGCATTATATTTATCGAAAATTTTCAGTAAAAATATTTTTTTTTACGCAAGTACTTTTAAACAGCAGATGTCCTCAAGGCGATTCCGTTTTTACCGAATGCTCTTTACCCGAGACATTCAATTTCGCTCTCATCCTACCTCTTCGCTGCACGAACATCGCGCTCACACTTTTATGGCGACAAGCTGTAGAATAACTCACGGTCGCGGAAGTAAATTGTTGCGCTGGTAACGGATGAACACACGGCGGAAGTAGAACGGTGGATTCGAATGTTTATTCAGTTGTAACCTTACGAGAGCGTGACTTCCGCGGAGAGCGCACATTATTTAAAAGGTTCATTTATCCGATAGAATCGTGTATCGAATCGAGATGGCGAGAGGACAAAAGCTGGAAAACAACTTGTAAATTCGCATAGCTTGACATGAATGGCACGTCGATTTCTATTTTCGGCATGTTGCTTTTTTTTTATCACATGACTCTCATCTAGATCAAGTATCACTTCGTCACGCATATCGCGTTTAAAAGAGAGAACCAATACCGTTATTTTATAACAATAATACGTATAATTACATTGTTCACTAATCATTTCAATTGCAAGTGCAGTGATTTTAAATACAGATATAATGAAATCTGTCCCATTCACTTGATAATATATTAAATATATCGTTTCTATTCTTCGTGCTTTATAGTGGACGGAAAATGGCTAATCCGATCTAAATTTTTAGTTCCGACACATTTTTACTAGACAATTGTGTTAAGGATGACGCAATATTTCGCGATGAAAGATTAATCTAAATCGAACGCGCGCGTAGAGATCGACTTAATTCGTCCGGCTGTAATCCAAGGTTTAAGGTTCCTCGAAACGAAAGCTTACCAGAGGATTAAAGTATCGTTGTTCCGATAGCACGAATACCATGAAGCAGTGTAAACATGTCGGAGCCCAACAAGGAAGTTTACGAATAATGATTGTACAGTTTTCTAACAATCGTGCGCAATTACAGTGACACTTAAAAATCATGGAAAAAATCTCGTTCTAAAATAAACGTAGTTAAATTTTTTTTAAACTTGCTCATCCTTATTTACTTTAAAACTCTCACTATATTTATAATATTTTTCAAGAATTTATCTAATAAATAATACACATAAATATTTTGTTAAAAAAATGAGTAAATATTTCTATCAGTAAATAGTAATATAAGATAAAGCATGATTCAAATAAAATTGTACGTCGTGTAATAATATAACAATTAAATATAATATATTAGGCCAGCTGAACGAGCAAGTTAATTATTGATTATAATTAATAGATGTTATAACAAAATGTTTATTAAAATTCTTACAAACATTACGTTCAGTAGTTACTACAAACGGCTGCAATTTACGGTGAAACGGGAGAACAACCATTGTTTGAATTTTCTTGACGTATCAATAAAAAGTATTAATAATATCATTCATTTGGATTGATACCAAAAAGAAACAT